GTTCGAGCAAGTAAATGAAGATTCTGAAATTCTGATCACTGTAGAACACTATGCATGCCTAATTGATCTTCTCGGAAGGTCGGGGAAACTTGAAGACGCTTTGGAAATACTGAGAAAGATGCCTATGAAACCGAGTGCGAGAATATGGAGCTCTCTTGTATCAGCTTCTAAGCTTCATGGAAGACTCGACATAGCAGAATTACTATCATCTCAGCTTATAAGATCAGAACCAAAAAATGCTGCTAATTACACATTGTTGAATATGATTTATGCCGAGAAGGGTCATTGGCTTGATATAGAACAAGTGAGGGAAAACATGAAACTACAAAGATTACAAAAATGCTATGGATTCAGCCGCATTGAGGTAGGATGATAGATCAAGTTTCTAGCAAAACAAGAAGAATGTTTTGAACTTTGAAGGCTAGTTTTAGACAGGATGAAAATGCTTTGACAAGAGTGCTTTATTGAGACAATAACATGTCGCCTAAGGGTTAGATATTGCCTCGCCCCTTAGGCCTTCCTATTGTCTAGTCATGGAAAACGTGAGAAAAGATGTTTGATACAGAGAGAAGTTAGGGTCATTAACTGGCCCACATCCTCATTGAAAATAATGATTCAACATTCCACTATTGACTGAGTGCTAAATAAAGATGTTTAATAGATAGAGAGAAGTCAGGATCATTAATTGACCACATTCGTATTGGAAATATGGATTCAACGGTCCACCATTGACTGAATGGACGGTGAATTAACATTGTTACGTATCCTGAGTTCGAACCCAAATGCTTTAATTAAAATAGAAGAGATTATTTATCATCTGATTCAAGTGTTCTGGAGTAATGTGTGACATTTTTAATAATGCATTGCATGATTGATTTGACTATTAGATTAGACAAAATTAATTTCATAGGTAAATTGATTTCATATGTATCCATATACAATTCATTTTACATTTTAAGTAGAGTCAATTTATAATCTTTAAGACTAATCTTTGTAGCTGGATGACTAAACAAAAACTCTACAACATTTGACGTTAAATTTAAGATGCTTAGAATTGAAACTTATATATGATTAGAGTTCAGTGTCATCAAGTTTTGCTTGTGTTCTAAACACACACCTTATTATCAACCAACATTAGAGTCTTTGCTTCTTTTCAAAACACACTCTACATACATCAACTCACATTCATGTGTCATGTACATCAAGTTAAGTATCCGTGGAAATTGCTTTTAGCATCAACAACATAGTTTCTTGGAGCATAATATCTCCATTTGAGAATAACTTGTCCTTGGAGTAAAATTAAAATGGACTTATAGTTCATACTTCAAAGGTGAGCAATGACAGTTACATTGTTGGTTGAGCACACAATTTATGTCGTAAATTCCATATTCAAACTTCGATTCTTATATATATATATATGTCTCTATGTAGCTATCAACTGAGTTTTACTAGCAGATGCAGTTCGGAAAAGGTTGGACAATGCATTAGACTAAGAGACATTAGTTAGTTTTACAAGGATAATATTATAGTACTAAAGAAAACAAGAGATGCACACAATGCGGGTTTCATGTCTTTGTAACATGCTTGCTATAAGAACCAACACCCTTTTCCTTTCAACCAAGAGACAAACACAAGAAAAGAAAATGTTCAGACCATAAACTAAATTCACAAAATATCCCAAAGAATCATAGAAACTTGCAATTATTCATTTATCAACTTTACATCAGTAAACCAAAAACTGAAACTCGGGGAAATTAATCAACTAACGTAAATACACAAAAGTAACTAGAATGAACATGAAACTAGGAAGCAAATTAAATGATGCAAATGGCATTTTCATTTAACAACACAAACTTGAGATAGATAAGAACATTTTAACTTAGTGTGAAAGGAAAGAGATGTTTCAAAGGAGAAGAGACGAACGATTTTGAAACAAAAGAGAAGAAAAAATCTAGAATAAAGAAGTGACTCTAGTTTTTACCATATTTATGAATTGGGCTTACAAATCAAAAGGTGTCTTATCAAATAATCACTTATCTTGCATGTAATACTTGAGTATTTTAGTTTCTTAGAAAGATCATAATCACCCTTTTAAAAGCATTTGAAATCATGTTCCAAATATGATTGAAGTAAAGGGTGTGGCTACTCCTATATTCAGTCAGTCAATGTAAATTGAGTAAACATGGCACTGACGTAATTCCAGATCCGCTTATGTATCGTTTAACAGTTTGTGCCTTATAATATTTGACACTCACATGACCTGACATAGCATTTTCAGTTAATAAAGACTGTCAATTCATGTCTATGCTGCTTGAATCACATCAGTTAAGTGTATTCTTTGACTTGAGTGGCACGATAATTCATGGCTTGCTACTTGCATCAGCTACACATCTTCCAAAATTTTCTTTGCCTGCATATAGTAACTCTGATTGGGCGAGTGACCCTGATGATCGTCACTCCACAACAAGTTCATGTGTTTTATTTGGCCATAATCTCGTGGCATGGAGCTCGAAGAAACAAATGCTTATTGCAAGGTCAAACGCATAAGCTTAATATTGGGCATTGGAACACACCGCAGTAGAATTACTTCGGCTTGAATCTGTCTTATCTGAGCTACACATCGAGTATCTTGCGTCAACTCTATTGTGTGATAACCTTAGTGCATTATTACTTTCACATAATCTGATTCTCCATGCAAGAATCAAACACATTGAACTTAATATTTATTTTGTTTGGGAAAAAGTAGTGTTTAATCATTTGCATATTCAACATGTATCAACTCATGCTCAACTAGTTGATGCAGTCACTAAGCCATGTCACTCTCAACTGCTTTATTCACACGTTTTCGATATAAGTTCAAAGTAGTTTTGCTCAACCACCTTGATCTTGTGGAGGCATATTAGGAGAGTACATGCATGTGTGGTGATTAAGTATGCATGAGTATGTTAAATAATATGTATGACCATACTAGGCTAGATAGTTAGATGAATAATTAACTTTAAATTACAACCACTTTAAGTATTCAAAGTATGGAATTGGATCCTCTTTTGTTGGGCAAAACTCCAACTCTAATTTTGTGAGAGTGAAAACAGAAAAATTGAAAATAAAAAAATAAATGTTAAAAATGAGAGAGACTAAAATAAGGAGGAATATGAACAAAAAGGAAGGAGAGGAAGGATCAATAGATGATCCAAATCATTCAAAGTATATATAAGAGTGGAAATTTCTACTATAGAGATTAACATAGATAAATATACATAGCAAGCAAAGGTTGCATAGTATTGACGAAGTTCTCTCTCTTTTTTGGTGAGCAATATATCATTTTCCCAATAAATAATGCTAGTTGGTAAGAAATTGAAGTTCTATCAATATTTATTTTCCATTATGAATTAAAATTTGTTAGTTGGTGCAAATATGTTTATTCAATATAGTAAATCATATATGCATTAGATTTAATCTAAATTTGACCGAAATAAATATTTTATGAAATTTTATTTAATTACAATTTAACCGTCATAAATTTTAATTCATATGTGGCACACCGACTTACACATCTTAAAAACAGTATCGTCACTGCATGTTCGAATGTGTGATATTTTTTTAGTGAAATAATTTAATAGTTAAAATTTACCATTTAAAATTGAACAAGTGGAAAGTTGCAAATTTGAACAAATACCCCTGCATCTATGTTTCTGCATAGCTACATATTGAACTAATTTATTGGTTTTTATATTAGATTGTATGTGTGATTTGCCTCTTAGATTATTAATTTCAAAGATAAATTTATTTTACTTTTATGTATCCAAATACAATTCATCTTACATTTTAAGTGGAATCAATTTATAACTTGAGTGTTGATTGTAGCTTCCTGACTAAACACAAAATCTACAACATTTGACGTTGAATTTAAGAAGCTTAGAATTGAAACTTGTATATGATTAGTGTGCAGTGTCATCAAGTTTTGCTTGTGTTCCAAACTCACACCAACATTAGAGTATTTGCTTCTTTTCAAAACACACTCTACATACATCAATACACATTTATGTGTCATGTGCATCAAGTTAAGCAAGCATCCGTTATAGTTTACACTTCAAAGTGATATCACTTCATTTCAAACACATGTTCGAAAAGCTACACCTATCAAAAAAATTGGGTAGTGATTAGTCATGAATGACTCAAGTAAGGTCACTTTCCAATGCCACACAAGGCAATGAGTACGAACTCTACTTAATACTACTAGGTCCATATGATTCAACCTCCACGTTGTGTCTCATGGCACATTAAATAAACACATGCAAAAACTTAGGTGAATAAAATTCAATCTAAAACCAGTGTTCAAAGATGAGCAGTTGCAGTTACATTGTTGGTGGTGCACTTCACCATGGCTATTACCAATCACCTAACTCTTTCCAACCTTTGTGTCACAAATTCTGTATTCAAACTTAGATCCTTTTACATGTCTTTGCAGCTATCAACTGAGTCACCATCACAGCACCATCATATTGCAGGTGCAGTTTGCAGCACTAATTAGTGTTACAAGCATAATATTATAGAACTAAAGGAAACAAGAGATGCATACAATGCTGGTTTCTTCGCCTTTTGGCAACACGAAAAGGAACCCTAAACCTGTGAATTTCTCTATCATTACATGTCATTGTATCATGCTTGCAGTAAGAATCACACCCTTTTCCTTTCAACCAAGAGACAAATACAACAAAAGAAAATGCTCACAGCATAAACTAAACTCACAAAATATCCCAAAGAATCATATAAACTTGCAATTAATTATTCATTTATGAACTTTACATCACTAAACCAGAGACTGAAACTTGAGAGAGTAATCAACTAGTATATACACACAACATTACCGGTCAAATGATTGCAATGTCAAGTTCTTCATGAAATTCAATCACAAAACCAATGTAATGAACATGAAAATTGAAATGATGCAAATGGCATTTCCATTTAACAATCTTGACAACACATAAGAACATATCAACTTAGTGTGAAACGGAATTTAAAGATTCATCTAAATCATACTCAACCGAGAAATTACAAAACTCCCTCGTGAAATCCGCGCCTTCAATTTCCTCGATTTCATCCTCCCTCATAAAGTCTCCCAACCTCTCTTTAAAAATCCCCAACTGCTCCTCCAAAAAGATCTTCTGAGACTCAAGTTCAACAATATTCCACCTCAACGACTCAATCACTTCGCGATCATACTCTTGCCTCTCCTCCACCATTCTCCGAAACTGATTCGCCTCAATCTCAACCGAACTCTTCTCATTCTGCAGCCTCAATATCATCGCCATGGCCTCCTCCGCCGCACTCGAAGCAGCCACACGCTCTTTATCAATCTCCGCACACGCAGCAGCGTATCTCTGTCTCTCCATTTTCACCAATTTCCTTAGCGACATTACATCAAACACCTCGTCCTCCAAATTCTCCTCCTCCAAATTCATCCCTCCGTCATCACGTTTCACCATAGATTTCGATTTCATCCGAGTATCCAAACGCTTAACCTTCGCCGGCGGCTTCATCTTCCGAAACCTAGGCGCCGTATCCGAAAACGCCGAAAACCGAAGAATCTCCGAAAACCGGAGAATCTTGACGCAGATTCCGAAGATCAAAACAAGGCCAACGAAATTGAAAATCCGAGAGAAGTAACCACCGAGAAGAACAAAACCACACCCAAGCTCACTCGCTTGCGTAAGAAAATTGAAACTGGAAGGAAAATCCATAAGAATGAAAACCAAAAAGCGAAGAGAAAAACTAAGAAACTTGTGATATATTTCAATAACAGAGTGAAAGAGAAAAACCAACAAACAAAAACGACGCAGAGTCTGCATCTGCATCATCTTAACGTCAAAGGTAAAACAGAAAAAGTGCCATTAGAGTGAAAATGAGAGAGAATTGAGAAATTGTGAAGAAGAAGATGAAGGAGAAGGCGTAGAAATAGATAACGGGAAGAGTATCGGTTATGATTCCGTTATCACTGTCTCAGACCCATTCACAGAGATATGAGATTTTTTTAATACCGTTGGTAATTATTATTATTATATTATATTACCGCTAATAATCATTAATTTTTATCTTAATGTTATTTTATGTGATAAATTTAAAGTTTTTTAATTTTAAGATTCACGGTTTGTAAAAGATAATGATGGTTTTATTTTATTTATAGTTTATTCAAGAATATTTTATTCGGTCAAAATGTTTTTTGTTTTCCATTCTTTAAATTTATTTTAATTTTACTAATATATAAAAAATATAATTTAATTAAAATACACTGATTATATAAAAAGAAATTACATAATTGCTTAGTTATGTATGTTGAATGGGGAGAGAAATTTGACTTTTATTTAAATTAATTATAAATTATTATAAATAAATAATAGTGATAAATTGATGATATAAAAATTTTTATATTAACATTGTATAATAGTTAATTTCATAAAAATATTAATAAATTTTTATAATAAAATTTTAAATTATTAATTTATAAATATTACTAGTAACTTATTTATATTATTATATTAAAATATTATATTATAGCTGAAAAATAAAAAATAATGAGAACATTTCACAATCTTACCGGCTTATCCAATTTATCATATATAAACATAATTTAAATTAACTTTTAGAGTGTCCAAATTTATATTTAAAAAAGAAAAGCAAATATTGTTTAATCAAATATTTTTATTATTTTTTAAATTTAATTTATTTATTTTATATTAATATATAAATATAAATAAATATTATCTTCAAAGATTTTAAACCATCGAACAACAATTTACACTAATTTAATTCTTTTGTTTTATGTATTAATTTATGAATAAGAGATGATGTACTTGCAAGGCACTTCAATACTGTTGCGGTGGAAATAGGATCACAAACTATTAATGAGTTTGAATCGCAATTCAATTCACAACCGCTCTTTGATTTATCCGAAGGAAAATGTCAAAAGAGGGAAAACCTATTTTGCATCGTAAACACAATGCGGGGAAAGATCTAGGGTTCGGGGGTTGGTTAAATTTAGGGAAGGTATTAGCACCCTAAACTTCTGTAGTACTCTACAGGAACCTTTTGTTCAAATGTTTACTATTTGCTTTATTTATTTGCTTAAGGTATATGTACAAAGGATTAAAAGTGAGAAAAGAGACCTAAGGGGTTAATTCTAAGTTTACTCGGCAAGACATCGCATCTTGTGCCTACGTATCCTTACGGGAGTGGAATCAGAGTAATCGTAGTTCCCCTCAAAAGGGAGGTTAGAGACTTCTTGACTGTGGTCAAGGTCTCAAGGGGAATAAACGCATCTTAAGGACACGCTTACATGGAGTGTAGAAACTCCAAATCTCTACGTTGAAATGTTAAGTTGTAATTAGGGTTAAATTAGGGATTCCACGGCGGGAAACCCTAAAATGAGCGCGGCGGCTCTTTGACCTAATGCTAGGGGTAAAATTGTAATTTTGTCCACAGCGAGACATGTATGAAAATTAGGATTTGTGAGGTTGTAAGGGTTTGAAGTTGAGGACTATTGGCGCGGCGGTCAAACGCTAGACCTAATTCCTTCGGCAGTGTGTGTGCAATGTGACAGGAATATTGATGAAGGTGTGAGATAATTGAATTGTAAACAGGGGATAAAACAGAAGTTAAAAGTCATGCAAACAGAAATTTAAGGGCAGAAATTTAAAGCGCGATTATTAGATTCGCGGGGTTACATATGAGAAGCAGTTACAATATGATAATGAACTTTGAGTGCGAAAATAGGATGACATAAATAATAGCAAACGTAATGAGCTGCAAAATGAACAAACGATGTTAGTGGGCAGAGTTAAGCGTCAATCAAATGCGTTATGAGCCAATGAAAAAAGAAAAAAAATGCAAATTGGAGATCTATTATTGTTTTATTTAATATTAACTTGCAAAAAGATTTAATTTTAAAAAATGTTTTCTTTTAAAAAAGTTTTATTTTTGAATATTTCTAAGAAAAGTTCTTTCTTATTTTCATTTAAAAAAGAATTTTCTATTTGTATATTTACAAAAGTTTTAGTTTTAAAAAAAGGTTTTAATTTTTATTTTAAAAAAAGAGGTTTTTTTAATTCTATTATAAAAAGATTTTTGTTTATTTATAATATTTACACAAAAAGGTTTTAAAACAAATATAAAACAATTTAAAAACAAATAAAAAAACATAATTTAAAAAAACAAAATAAAAAAAATAAAACATAAGGGGTTGGGCCGGTCATCACCCCGGACCCAACCCGGTTGGATTAACTTAGAAGACATTTAGGGTTCCCAGAACCCTAATGTCCTTGAGGCGCCGTTTCACTTTCTTCTCCATCTCTCTCTCGCCTTTCTTCTTCCTCGCGCCGTGATCCTCTTATTTCCTGAAATAAAACATCAAAACTCGTAATGAAAGGTCCCGTTGCTTACATTTAACGTGAAATTGGCCGATGATGGCGTGAGCTGAGGCCCAAAAACGGGAGATTGCCCGTCGTTTGGTTAAACGGCGTCGGTGGTCCCTCGTTTCGGATCCTTCGTGACCTCTAATGGCTGATACACGGTGTGTGTTGGGAAGTCCGTTTGAACGATGATGACGATATTCTTCGTCTGAGTTCGCGACCGTTAGGGTTTTCGCATGTGACTTTTCCCGTTCGTTCGCCTCTTTCTCGCGGCTACCCGTTGGGGTTTGCGACGGTAGTTTCGTGATCTTGTTAGGGTGTTCGCTTGCGATCTCCGTTAGGGTTCTTACGAGGTGATACCTTTCCCCTTTTTATAACTTCTATTTCATCTTTTTGGGCCTTTAATCCGTGTTGGATTTGTGCTATTTTGGCTGAGATTTGATTTCGTGTTGATTTCATCTGATTTGATTTTGTTTTGATTACGATTGGATGCTTTCTGATATGAATCTGATACTGATTGAACTCTGTTTCCTCTTTTAGGGTTTGATTGGTCTTTCTGATTTTCAGCTGATACGATTCTTCTGATTTGATTCGGAGCCTTCTATTTTCAGAACTCTGTGATTGAATATTACATGACCCTATTCGATTTGTTTAATAATCTGAACTGATTTGTTTTGATCTGTTTTGGGATTGATACCAAATCAAAATCTCTCTATTATTTTTCTGATATGGTTTGCCTTCAGGTTGGATTGATTGATATCTGATATTGATTCACAGAACTCCTTGATGGATTCGTTTTTCTGTTTGATATTTTCGATCTCGGACTGATTCGTTTTTGACTGATTCGTTTTTTGATGCAGCTCAGATTCTTTTCCTCTTCTTCTTTCAGAGAGGGCTGATATTGTGTTGGTCTTTGCCGCCGAGACGGGTACACGGTAGTGATGACACTTAGTCTGAACCGTCGAAGCAGGATACTACAATCCTGGTTTTACGCTGTTGCTTCTGATTTACCTGATAGCTTGAGCCGCGACGACTGATAGGGACTGTTATGGTTTTGCACTTGTTTATCTTATGAACTGATATGTTTATGTTAGCTTATTCTTGTTCGTTCTGGTACAATTCATGCCATGATTTTGTGCCGCGGCGTATTCTGAACTGATATGAACTTCGACTCTTCTGTGCAGTTTTGGCAGGTTGATTGAATTGGTGATGATGATTGGCTATGATGTTGATGTCCTGAGCCATGTGTTTGGTAATTTGTTTTTCCAATGTACTTGCACATTTGGCCTATCTCGCTTTCTGTCATGGTTATGTGCTGTGATTTGGTGTAGTCGCTCACTTATGTATTGCTTGCCATTGAAACTGGTTCGGTTTTCGTGATGGTCTGATTTTGAACATGCTGCTAAACCATGTTTGATGCTGTTGTGCATGAAGCTTGACATTAATCGATGCCTCTGAACTTTGATACAGCGTGTGATGCTTTTGTGATTTGCACTTCGTTTTTCTGATACTTTGTTGAGGCCATTCAATGCAGTTTGGTTTCATTTCATTTTTCTTATTCTGTTTGAACTTGGCTTTCATTTGTTTCTTTGTGCCTCTTCACACTTGTACCGGCGCAGGCTCCCTTTCGCCTAGTTTTGTTTATGCAGCTTGTTATGCTGATGATGTTTGTGGCTTTTCAGGTGTTGGAACCAAAGCGACTCAGACCTGCCGGCATCCGGGTCTGAGTCCAAACTTGCCTATGTTGCCTTATTCTCGTGTCAGTTTGGAAATCCAATCGCGGCAAAACGAATCAGTCCCGCTTCTTTTATTACTTCTATCTCTCGGATGTCCCGTAACGATAAGAACAGGTGTTACCTGATCTGACGCCCACGGCGCGGATCGGTAACGGGGGTAGGACGCAGCTTCGGTTGTGCCACTCCCGGCACTCGATGATGACATTGTTCTGAGAGTGTCAAAAACAACTTCTAACATTTTTTCCTATATTGTTTGTTCTGTTTTGATGTGCAGGTGAATTTGGAGATTCTGCGGAGGAGCTTAAAGACATCATGAAGACACTTAGGAATTTTTAGGATTTAGGATAGATACTTATTGTAAATGAATCTTCTTGTAAACCAAGTTCAAATTCACTTATCCATTTGTAAACTGTAAATATTTATGAAATGAAATTCAACAAATATTCATATTTACTTTCTCAATTGTAAATTCAAAGTATCCATGAATAATAATTCAGAACCATTTAAATTCCCTCTTGAGTTGTAACTTATAAGTACTTATGAACACAAAGTTCAAAAATATTTAAAACTTACTTCTCCTTTGCCTTTTATAAATGATATCCCGCCATATGATTATATCCAAACAAATTCAAATTAAAATCTCGTTGATCACATCACTTCTCAAAATAACCTTAACAGTATCCACTTCCTTTTCAACCCAACTTCATCTTATTAAGA